AACAGCGTTTATTTCGTTCTTTTATCACAGAAATTGTAGAAATAGGAGGAAATTTAGTAAGTGACTACAGTTTTAATGGATCTCAAATAGCGGCCCTTTAAAGAATTCCGTACCGCTGGGAAAACATGAATTTAAAGGGCCGTAGGATAAAGGTTAAAATATGCACTGGTAGAAGTATGTTATCTTGCAACGTGTCTCTGCTGCTCACTTTCTTGTGTGAAAGTGATTTTATTGAAGACAATATTATTGTGATTTCCACTGAAATAAAACTATAATTTTACCTAATGTTTTAGATGAGTATGGGTATGAAACGTGGTCTCTCGCATGCGGAAAGTACGTAAACTACAGATGTTTCAAAGCAGTGTGCTCAGGAAAATATTTTAACCCAAGAAGGATAAAATAAATGTGCAATTTATGATATTATGTAATGAATTTCAGTTTAAGATTTATATTTCCATGTGTTTAGTTATGGATTGAAGCAAGTTATCTGGTCACTGAATTAGTGTTGAGTATTTTCATAGAAGTTAGATTTCTAAACAGAATTGGGAATGTGATTTTTGTCTTGTACTGATAAATGTTTTACAGTTGATCTCTTACTTCTTTGTAGGGGTCGCAGTGACCACATTCTCAGGACTGATCCTTCTGGCTTCCTACATGTTATTTGACAGCTTTACTTCCAACTGGCAAGGGGAGTTGTTCTCTCACTATGGCATGAGTTCAGTGCAGATGATGTGTGGAGTGAATTTATTCTCCTGCCTCTTCACTGCAGTCTCTCTTGCACAGCAGGGAGGGTTCATCCATTCCATCAATTTCATGACTGAGGTATCTTTCATGCCTTCAATTAAATAATGAGTAGTTGCAGTCTCTTAGGATATTAAACAGCACTGCATTACCTACTGACTTTATCTTGTGTCTACTGGATGTTGGGCCAGAATAAGAAAATGGAGATTAATGCATCTTATTTTTCTTCCTTAGACTTGTGGGTCACCTAGCAACCAAAATGGAAACATATTACAAAATATATTGTTTTATGCCATCTTTTCCCTCTTCATGTTAAAACATCTGGTCAAATCAGGGGGGGGGCCTGCAAACTAATGAGAGACATTATAACAGATGGGGATTCAATAGGAAATTTGGGTTTGGGGTGGGGGGTCAAATCAAATTTAATTTCATGAAAATTATCCAGTATTTTGAATTGTCTCATTTTGGTCCGTTACACTATCAATCACTAATTGTCAATAGATTTTCCGTCAAGTGCAACAATATATATTTTGATATTATTTTGAGATAATTAAGTGATCAAAATATATATTGTTGCACTTGATGGAAAATCTATTGACAATTAGTAAAATTATCCAGTTTTATTCATCTATAAAAATGTGTAAACTAACACCATGGAGCAAAGGCCTTGAAAAGCTGACCATTGTGTAGCTCATCAAGAAATTCCCTCCATGTTATAGAAGCTAAGTGTTATACCATGTTTGCAACATCCCACACTATGCAAAATTTTTAATACTTTCTCCTCATTTGTACTTGATTTCTCTTTAAATTAAATGTTTCAGTTCCCGAAGTTCGTGTTTGATTGTCTCGTCCTGTCAGTATGCTCAGCTGCAGGGCAACTCTTTATATATTACACCATTGCAACGTTTGGACCAGTTGTCTTTGTGATTATCATGACCATAAGACAGGTAAATAATTTATTATTTTGTTATAGAAATGATTGTGCAGTAAACACAGTAGGTAACATACATATGCATAAATATGTTGCTATTGAGTCTGTATGTCTGGGATATAGAGGTAAAATTGTACTGATTCTTAACCTCAACCATGGCTGGACGTGAGTGGTCAGCTTAATGCTTTGTGGCTAGTGAAAGATCCTCTAATATTGAATTGGAGGCAGGATAGCCCATAGGGCCACTCTGGATCTGGATGATAGAAATGGAACACAACCCATCCAGCCCACAGCCAATCACTTTATACAGTGAACTGTTCTGGCTTATAATAGTAGCGTAGTGTGAATGAACACCCAAATTTTCAAACTGAAGGTATAGTTTAAAATAGTTATTAATGTGCAGTAGCAGAGTAATGAACAAATTACCGTGTTAATATATAGAAGGTTAAGTCAGAAAGTACCAGCAAAATGTTCACATCAGTTTTTTGCGATTGGTCCCACTACTGAAAGCACATGCAATTATAATTGCAGGACCTCCCTGCTGTTGCAGTGATATATTTTATCTTCACATTTCCATTTTTTTCACAAGTAGTGCTGCCAGCATGGGTGCTCCACTGATTACATGCATCAAACAGCAGCAGCATATAGTAATTTGTTTTATATTGGCTGATGTAAGAGTGGCACAATTTCATCAAGGATTCCTAGCACAGTATGGGGATAGTGTTTCGCTACACTGAATTGCATACAAATGGATTAAATGTTATTGACAAGGAATGATCAGGTTCCTCCACAGATTGACAGGAAGAAAACTATCACTGTACTGTGCTGATAATCTAGCACCCACCTCTTACACTTTCATCTCACAAAAACTGAATCAGTGAACACTGCTGTTCTTTGGTGCATGAGGTAAGTGGAGCAGCCCTGTTGATGCTAAAACACAATTGAATGGTGAAGGTCAGATAAGTCACTACAACAGTAAGAGATAGTGTGCTTATAGTTATATGTACATTCAGCAGTTCATTCATTCATTTTATTTAGCATTCATAATTGCTACAACAGTAACACTTGAACAACTTGCTTCATTAAATAATTGCTGAAAAAGATAGCATGATATTTTCTGACTTACCCTTGCACATTTTTTCAGTATTAACATTACCATGCAACAGATGAATAATTCATGATAATGACTTGTGCGTGTGTATGTACATATACATATCATTACAAAATATAAATAAGTAAGAGTAACTTCAGAGAGAGGATTTGCCTTATTTTAGAAAGATTCTTCCAAAATTTAATCAGTGACAATGATAACTGTATTATGCATACAATGAAAATTACTGTTGATGTTTGTTCGTCCCTCCCCTTTGACATTGCCACTTTTATGTCACCTAACAATCAAGCTTCTTTGGCTGTCTGTCTCTGTATTCCCAAAACAAACCACTCTTCCTATTTCCTCCCATATACTTCTGTCCGTCTGACATCGTTCCTAACTTATTGTCTTCATAAAGAACTCATGTACATTTCCTTTTATTTTCATGTTCAAAATCTTTTGGATACTTTTGTCCATATGGAAAATAAATGTTTTGTAATAACATGAGAATGTGTTGGTATCCTCTTATACATACTGAATGATAAACTTCATAAAGTGCTGTCTTATGTGAAAACATACAAATAGAGTGCATCAAAATATACAGTGGAATGTAAACTGCATAATTTTCCCCTCCATAGGGTCTTGCAATTCTGCTCTCCTGTTTCATCTACCAACATCATATCACAGCTGTGGGCATTATTGGTGTGATCATTGTATTTGTGTCAGTATTTCTACGAATTTATTGCAATCAGCGATTACGAGCAATCCGGAAACGGACCCAAGCATCAAGCAGTATCAAGGTGTAATTGCAGCTGAAATAGTTCTGTAATTAAGCAGTAAGTTTTTGTTTTTGCAAATTATGTATCTCAATCAGATGATGTGGATTCAGACCAGGTTTTCATTAATGATGTCTTGGCATTAGAAAGTTTGGAGTGTCAAAATGTCAATTAACTCCGTAGCTTATAGTCTGCAAGCAAACTATACTGACTGAGCGGCCACCACTTGTCAGCGAAGTTAGTGCCAACTTTTGTGGACAGACGGTGTTACATGGTCTGCACAGCATATCCCCACGGCTGTTAATTTCGGTTTTCTAGACGGGAGCCGCTGTTTCCTTGAAATGGCTCCTCAGTTATCCTCACAAGGTTGAATGGACCCTGTTCCAGACCCACTAGTTCTCAGAAAATCTGGTAGTGCCGGGAATCGAACCCAGACCTCTGGATCTGTAGCCAGGAACTCTGATCACTAGACCACAGAGGCAGTCTGACAAAATGTCAATTACATATTTTATTTCATGTTGTAACAGATGAAGAAAATGGAGTCCTTCACAAGTATAAAAAGAAGCCATAATTGGAGGAACTCTAGTTCAGCATTAAAAATACAGCCCTCGGCTTTATTGTAACAAGTTTCTTAAAAAAATTTAAGAACATATTCAAGAATTTAAGAACATATTACTGCTAACTTGATGGAAGTCCATTTCTCACTTTCTCTATAAGAGATCAGAACAAATCATAGATATTTTCAAACTGCAGTACAACCTTCACAGAACATTCCTTGATTTAATGTTGTACTTCATTTAATACACTGAATGATCCTAAGTCAATTATCTTAGTGTTAAATTACAACCATTTAAGATCTTTTTCAGCGTAGCGTTTAAATCCACAGCTCCTCGCAGAAACCTTGCAGTTATCACTGTATTTGCAGCTTCATATTGACTCCATGAAGCAAACAGCAGAATCCTTTTTGAGAAATTTATAGTTGCTTAGCTGGTCATGAAGTTCCACCTTTTATGGAACTTGAAGGTTCGTAGTCTATCATTGTGCCCTGTCCTAAGCTAGATATCTGGTCCACACCCTCACACCTGGTTTCTTTAAGATTCATTTTAATAGTATCCCAGATATGCCTTGGTCTTCAAAATGGACTCCTCCATTCAGGTTTTCGGACTGAAGTTATGTATATTCTGCTCATAACTTCCATGATTTGGTCACTCTAATAACATTTAATGGTAAAGAAAAGATTAACATGTCAGGGATGTAATTGATCACATATAAATCAGCTATTGAGATAGGTGGGTAAAGCATGGGTAAAAATGGGTGATATAATTCTGAGAATTTTTCCAATATTACTCATATAAAGAGCATCCAAGAAAATGATGACTGTTCATATATAAAAGATGTACAACACACTAAAGACTCTTGAAAGATTAATCAGGTAAAAATATAGTTTACATAGATATGTTTCTGTTCCACTTGGCTTTTGATACTGTCCGTGTTTTTGCTATATCTCACCTTCTATCAAATGTGTATGTTAGATTTTTTTTCCCCCCAGTTTATATACCAACTTGTTTCCACATGACTGTATTTGATGGTTTTCTATGAAGTTGAACAAATACTTTGCTAAAATATTTATTCTTGTGTAAGTGATGTTTCTGTTATTTTCATAGAGGGATTCATCCGTGACATATTTGTTGAATTAAAAACACCAAGGAGCGCGCTAGTCGCTAGGCAACGCGGATAAACATCCGGAACAAAGCAGACAATAATACTTGGGGCACATAATGCCATACTGGCATATATGGAGGAAATATAGGAAGGAAGTAGTGTAGACATCACTGAAATGCACACTCATTACTTGACATTGGAAGAAGAAAGAAAGAGATATTACAATTCTGTGGAGAGAGCTCTAAGTAGAGTATCAAAAGATAGGAAGTTTGATAAGAGTATTTTCATTCGAGATGTGGAGAATATTGTTAAGGATATCTTGGTGATTGGTGATCTCCAGTTGATAGGAGATGCTGAAGAGGTGTATGCTCCTTTGATTGATCCCACTTCTGACACCAGTTGTCACGTGTTGCGTTACTGAATACGCCGTAGAGATCGTTAATTGGTTTATTTAACAACCTACAAATCACGGCTACAATTAATTATAACACAGTTGCGGGTTTCCACACTTTACAAACCCTACAACCAAAGTCTTCACGTACCAATAACGCGGGAGCTATACAAATCTCCCTGAATTACACACTCCAAATATAACTGTACTACAGCACTCACTAAGTCTCGAAAGCACACAATAAGTCTTCTGCTTGTTGACTTCTTAGTTATTGCACACGCGTCTGTAACTCGTAACTTGCGAACTGAGAACTAACTCGGAGGTAGCTCGCTTATAAACCCTCAGCAGGGCAACGAGAGAACANTATATATATATATATATATTGGGTGGCACACTTCTTTAGTTGTGTACCAAAGGCTTGAGAAGCAGTTTTGTCACTCATATTTAGACATTGTGATAAGCACGGGTAGCAGGGAAGGTTAAGAATACTATTTCTGAGAGAACATGCATAGCAGAGAGGAACTGACACTAAGTATAATCTGAGTTTAACAATAGCAGTGGAACTCACCAGGTCTCTGTTACATATCTACAAAAGCCTTAACCCTAGTTTAGCAATAATCCACAGTGTAGACAGAGCAACTTAGTCTTGATTCCAAAACTGTTCAGTGAACATATATTTGTGCTGAAGAACTGAATATTGTAGCTGCTGGTATACTTCATTCATTGGTTCATAGGGTTCTAGGTTTGATTGTGGTGACAGCTAATCACCAAGACAGGTTTATATCAAAATTCTGAAACAGTCAGTATATAAAATATACATCAGACAATGAAAAGTCTTGGAACCCCACTTTAGTTTCCTTGGGAAGTAGTGGATTTGAACCCAAAACTGAGAAAATCTTAAGGTACTTTATCACACAGAACACCAGCTTTGGATGATTGTAATAGAACAGCATCTGAATAAAGCCTTAAATTAAGGAATATTAATTGGGGTTCACACACACACACACACACACACACACACACTCTCTCTCTCTCTTTTTCTCCCCCCCCCACACACACACACAAAGTAAAATGTTTCTGTCTGTCCTTTATAGATTTCCACACTGTTGCATTTATTTCAGTCAAATTTGGCATGATGGTAGAGGACCTTGGGGTAGTTTCCCCATTACCGTCTCTGTAAAGAAGGAACTGGGTTTGCAAGTACGATGGGATCATTGGTAGGATATGGGGGGACACCTGAATTATCTTCTGCTGTTGCTAGGATATGGAGGAAAACCCAGACTATCATCTTTTACTAGGTTATGGGGAAAACATGAAGTATCTTCCGCCATTGCTGGATTTATTGGAAATGATTGTTTTTTATACATATGCATTATGCCCAGGCAACACCAGGCAGATTTGGTAGTTATGTCATAAAACCAAACCTTTGATAAATCATTAAAATATTTGGTGTGATATTCATTTGCCATATCTTTCATTTTGTGAGTCTTGGTTTTGGTAGGTGCTCTTTCCTTATTAGTGCCATATTTAAATGTGAATTTGTATTTATTGTGGAAGTATACAAGTTTCCATCCAAATTTCTGCAGCAGTATGTTCGATACTGAGTGCAGTGTGACTGTGATAAAAATAATGTAAACATTTTTATCTGTTGATGTTGCAGTAATTAACAATAGTGATATTAAATATTCTATGTTATATGTGAATGTTGTTACATAAACAAAACAAATATGAAAATGTTTAATTGGCATATCTTACAGTGATGGTGAAATAATAGAGCTAACCTGGGAATATGTTAATGAAAGCCTGGTTATGAAAAGTAGAATTGGCTGAAGGATATTGTTAAGAACAGTGCTGCGGCTGTTAAGAGATTGCTTGTTTTAATTGCATTATTCCCCCTTTTTGAATCTCACTGAAAGCAAACAGGAAACCTCTGATCTTTGGTCATATGACATTTTTTGGTATCCTTTGTAATGATGTGTAATGCAGTCACAATGTGATATTCAAGTGTTGGTCAGAAATTTTTATCCAAAGTGTTTGGGATAAAAGCCGTAGAGAGTTAAAAGATTCCGGTGTTCTGATTGTGTTGACATTACTGTACACTGATACTTGGGAAACAACATAGTGACTAGCTGTGTTGCAGGATATGTTTCATAAGTAGAATTATGATTAAATTCCATCAGCTGCAACAGTGTTTTTTTAATAACAACATAGTTCTCCCTGCACCACACACAGGACCAACACAGTACACACAACTTCCTGTGAAAGGACATGACCATCCTTGGGCTTCACAGCAAGATTCTACTCAATCCAAAACTCTGTTACTTTTGAAAAACATTTTAAATACTAGTGTTTTAACCCTTACAAGATAACACATGCATGTGAAGAATTTCATTTAAAGTGTTGGTCACCTTCTGATGATAGCCATCATTGGCCAAAACATGTAAAGGCTTTATATTATTAAAAAACATTGTTGCAGTTGATGAATTTAATCCTAATTTTGATTATGCTATATGATGCAATGGTCAGAAGCAGTGTCAATCATAAAGATATATTTCAGTTTGCTTTCATTCAGTAATATGTAGTGAATTCACAGACTGGTTTCTTCATGTGCAGATGCCGATTTTTAAGCCATAAATATTGTATATCAAATTAATATAGATTTCAGGAAACTCAAATTGAAGGTGCACCAGCATAATGTTCCAGTAGGACACAGAGAATTTCTACTCTTCCATCACCACAGTTATTCGTGGGCTTATATTTGTGCAAACATAGGGTGGCACATTTGACAGTTAAGGGCCAAAATTTGACATACAGCACTTGTGCTTTAAACCATTAATATAACGAAGACTTTGGTCCTAATACATTAATAGAATAAGTGCTGCACTTATGTACTGGTCCCATTCTTAGAAAAGACCGTGTAAATTGAAGGTAAGGCACAAAAGACTTGGGGAGTTAGGTTTCAAGTTCACAAGATAACTGTGTAATATGCTTTCTGTACAATTTCTGA